TGAACACAAAATGCCATGTTTTCATAATTTCTTCCATACCAACTGCCAATTCTTATGTTTTCCACTGTCTCATTCGATTTAACGATTTTATTGACTTTTAAACATTTGTCTTCCTTCTAGCATGTCTTTTTATACATTTTGTACGTGCAAATTCCATTTCAATTTGTATTATTACCAATGGCTATTATTTTGCAGTTTGCCATTGTACTCCAAATCATTATCTGCATGGGCGTGATTTTATATCCAATTCTTGTAATTCTAAGGTAATATTATACATAATGGCTTTTAATGTTTAATTATTAAATAAATCAATTTTTGTGAGTTGTGATTAAATGAAATTAATTAGTCTGCGGTGGATAGCACAACAACCACAAAATTATTTAGATTTATCAAAAGGATTTTACAAAGCCATTAAGTGATCAGCTCCATTCTCTTTTTTCATCTGCACAAGGAGGTCTAAGCTTTTGCTACTACTTTTTTTTTGCAAAGGGTATTATTTATGCTAATAATCAAACTATAAAAGAATAGACTGCAAGAAATATATACAATACCCTCTCCCCATTAGTGAGGAAAGGTATACACCACCCTTAATCTATATCTGCACTATGCGTGCTGACACATGACTGTACACTAGTCACTCCCGTCAACATGGACTAGGGTTCCGTTCGCTTTACATCGGACTCCCGGAAGGCTCCCACGAAAGCGGAACTAAAGTTTTCGTCGAGACTCGACTCAACTCTCCCAAATCGTCGATTGGGTCTGCTAAATCGTCGATTGGGGTGGCAAATCGCCGAGTTGAGGAGAAGATCGCCAGAGTCTGACAGATTGCCGATCTTCCCCTTTGAACTCGCCGATTTCACCTCCAACTCGACGGTCACATCCCCAAATCGCCGATTTGAGCTGTTACTCGTGTCCAGCTCGAGCCATAATAGCCGTAACAGCTGCTATTATGGTTGGGCGCGATCTTCACCGCGGATTACGCCCCCAGAAAGGTCCTATAAAAGGGGACCCCGGGCTCCATCCAAAGGCATCAGTTCCATCGATTCTGGAGCGTGATTCACGGAGCAATCGCCGATTCCTCTCACTGAATCGTCGATTCCCTTCCGGAAGACTTGACGTAGAGCACGCGTCGTGGATCTTAGAACCTCCGGCACGAGAAGGTAGCCGCTGGCACCACCGTGAGCGCTGGTAGGACTTTCTGTTCCTTATCATTGTCAATAAAATAAATTGGTATTATGTCTCTCTGTTTTGCAGGTATCGTTCTATCGCTATGGCTAAAACGAATCCGTTTCTACGGATTATACACTTTTTTTTTTGTAGGTATAGTTCTATCTCTTTGTCTAGAAAAAATATAAAACTCTGCCACTACGGCCAAAGTCAAATCACTTTTGTCGCTACGTCCAGAAATTTTTTGTCTTTACGACCAGAGTCAAATCACTTCTGTCGCTACGGCCAGAAAAATTCTATCGCTACGGCCAGAATCAAACTACAAATTTCTGTACACCACTCACTCCCGTCAACATGGACTAGGGTTCCGTTCGCTTTACGCCGGACCCCGGAAAACTCCCACGAAAGCGAAACTAAAGTCTTCGTCGAGACCCGAGTCAACTCACCCAAATCGCCGATTGGGGTGTCAAATCACCGAGTTGAGGAGAAAATCGCCAGAGTCTGACAGACTGTCGATCTTCCCCTTTGAATTCGTCGATTTAACCTCCAACTCGACGGTTACATCCCCAAATCGCCGATTTGGGCTGTTACTCGCGTCCAGGTTGAGCCATAATGGCCGTAACGGCTGCCAATATGGTCGGGTGCGATCTCCGCCGTGGATTATTCTTCCAGAGGTCCTATAAAAGGGGACCTCGGGCTTCATCCAAAGGTATCAGTTTCATCGATTCTAGAGCGTGATTCACGGAGCAATCGCTGATTCCTCTCACCGAATCGCCGATTCCCTCCCGAAAGACTTGACGTAGAGCACGCGTCGTGGATCTCAGAGCCTCAGGGGATTTCTGTTCCTCATCAATGTGCATACCCAGATTTGTTGGAGGGATCTAATTTGGTTTATAGGGTCTATTACTACTATAAGTCTACAACTTCTACTTCATTTCTACTCACTATTGGGTCTGTTACATTTATTTTGATAAAATTGATTTTTTTCATTAAATGAAGGACATTGCCCTAATTACACTGAAGATAGAAAAAAATAAAAACATAAATAAGGGAGATGGATTATATCCTTCAAAATTTTCCTATATAGCTTCATATACTATATAATATATATTACTAGATACTTTGCTGCAAGAGGCTGGCCTTTCAAGGTTGAAGGATAGCTATCTCCAGAGGGGGTGACAGACTGACAGAAGCTCTTCTTATAGATATCTGGTCTGTAGGATAGACTGATATCCCTGTATATCTCTTCGAGGATGTCTCTGGTGGCTTGAGGGAGTAGGTCTGTTAAATTTGACCTATTTGGGGATATGGCTGATATCTGCCCTAGATGTATACTGGATACATATTATTTTGGAATTATATTATCTGGTTTCCTCATTTCATAGTTTTAAAAATAATGAAAATTTAATATTATAATTTATTGTAGAGAGTTATATCAAATATTGAGCAATACGTGTATGGAGACTGCAATTTTTCAGTTGTACTATCCAAGTCATGTGCTCATTAATCAATAGCACGTGATAGGGTTGGAAGGCTGAGATCTCGTTAGGGATTGCTTGCTTAATATATATTATTACTTGTATCATTAGTAAATCGGCGAGTATTTTCTTCACCACATAATATCACTGTTATAGCTTTGAACAGAGATGTTCAAGTTTCTCAGAAACCTCAGTAGAAAACCTTGATCCTTGATCACCAATGAAACAGTATTATGGAAAAGCAAGTGATCCTATTGATGTTACAGGCCAGAAATTCATATCTGGGATTCTTTTTTACCTGCATCTGAATATAAAATCAAAATACCTGATTATGTCGTGAAATTATATATTATGGATTTAGAACAATGTAGTATTTTTGTATGTACAATCTTAAAATTCTTGATAAATTGAAAAAGATATGTTGTTTCTGACACTACAGGTTCAATGATTCAGCTGTTCTCTCTGGCATTACATTGATGCTCCTTGCTTGTATTGTTTGGTTGAAGTTGGTATCTTATGCTCATACTAATTATGATATGAGGAATTTATCCAATTTAATTGATAAGGTAAGCTTTTAAACCTTTAAAAAATAATACTATAATAGTGTGGTTCTGTGTGACGATGTGATCTCCTAGTATTATCATTAGAGAGTAATATATGATGCTAATACATCAGACACCTAGTCTGTTCCTAGCCAATTACCATTACATTCATTTTGTAATATACTTAGTTGTACATTTATTTTTTCTTATTGATGTTTCACCTACATTCAACTCAGTTTGACTCTTCTCATAATATGTTTTGAATTGATAATATAGTAAATAACTAAATACACCATATTTCTTTTTTACTTATTCAGTTAATCAATATTTAATCATAGTGTTTTGATTTCTTTGACGTCAGGAAGACACCTCATGCAATTATCCAAATATTGATGGTCTCTCTCCCCTCGATTTTAAAAGCTTGGTATATTTTATGGTGGCTCCAACATTATGCTATCAGGTAAAGTTTGTTCTTGCAACATTTTAATGATTATTGGACAGAATTGATTTACATTGAAACTTAAGGATTTTTTTTTTGAGAAATTAAAGCTTTCATTACTGAAAAGGGAGGTTGGGCATAACCCAAGATTACAGATATAGGGAAATGCAAGTACAGTAAATGTAAAAACATTAAATGTAAAACATTGTCTATCTCTTATACAGCTATGACCCTGACTAACTAGCCAAGGACTGAAGCCTCAAGAGGTTGGACTCCCATGAGCGTATTTCAATCTGTGAAAGATTGTGCTTCTTATAGGATGTAGATTCATTTGCAATGCTCACATCCTTTATAATTTCTCTGCTGACAATTTCTGGAGGCCTTAGGGTGTGAAACTTAAGGATTAATTATGAGGTTATGACCAAGAACACCAAAAAAGTTTGTGTATATATATAGCCCGATAACTATTAGTTGTTTAAGTACACAAGAAAAAGATGTTAAAAAAAGTTGTAGAGAGAGAATCATAAAGAAAAATGCTGGAGTTGTCTGAGGTTACTGGACTTATATGGAAGAAAAGAGTCATATTACACACTGGAATGAGTGGGAAGTGTGATGGGCTTCCATAAAATATTCTTCATGTTATGATTTAATAGAAGCTTGATAAAGTGATAAACATAAAGTATTTCCATATTTTCTTCCATTTACGTCTTGCCATATTTTAATTCCAGGTTTCTATTGGGGTAATGATATATGTATTATTAGCTTAAAACTTTCATATTTACTTTTCGTAGGCAACTTATCCTCGCACGGCATGCATACGAAAGAGTTGGGTAATACGGCAATCAATTAAGTTGGTGATATTTACTGGAGTCATGGGTTTCATTGTCGAACAGGCTAGCACATCTGTTCATACCTATTTTTTCTTCTTTTTGATCAATAATCTGATCTTGGTATATTTGAAGAATATTACAGTACATAAACCCTATAGTCAAGAATTCACAACACCCTTTGAATGGGAACTTGTTAAATGCGATAGAGAGGGTTTTGAAGCTATCAGTTCCAACTTTGTATGTGTGGCTCTGTATGTTTTATTGCTTTTTCCATCTATGGTGAGTCTACATGCTTAGTTATGAATTTAAATTATTATATATAAATATATTCACTTTTTTTTCTACAATCATTAGATATTCATTACTAGTGACTAGGGTGTCAAACGAGCAGCCGAGCTTTTGCTTATAGAGCCAGGCTCGGCTCGTTAAGGAGTTATCCAGGTTCGAGCTCGTCGAGCCTGGTTTGGCCGAGCTCGGGCTCGGCTCGTTTTAAGAATAGCCAGGCTCGGGCTCGAACTTAACCTGCATGTTAAAATAAATAATTTGGAGACATGGGGGATCGAACCCGTGACCTCTCGCATGCTAAACAAACCTTTTACCAACTGTGCTACCTCTACATTCTCTCTAAATATAATATTTTTTTATACTTCTTACTGAGCCCATCGAGCTTGAACTTTAGGTTCGGGCTCGGCTCGTTGGGCTCGCGAGCCCGAGCTTAACGAGCCGAGCCCATCGAGCCGAGCTTTACTTGACACCCTACTAGTGACATATACACAAGACTGTCAAATATACTTATTACACACATTTACACTGATGTGAACATACTACTTCATGCTTCGTTTATTAGTTAATGGATCAAGAAGGAATTATGGTTTAACATCTTAAACCTTAATGTTCAAATTATATGTGTGTGAGAGAGAGTTTCAGAGACATACCGGAAAAATCCCAAATAGTTTTAAAATGTTATTTAACAGTTTTCTGTAGAAAATTGAAAACTATTTTTGCCAACATGGATAAACTAGAAATGTAAAAGTTGAGACTTGAGAGTTGTTTGAGGATCATTTGGTGATAATACAAATGATCTAACTCTTTTTAGCCTAGGGTACTATTTTTAACAAATGTGTAATTGTGTATCACAAAAAATTATTCATAAATATTTGATACCCTTTATATTCTTTCTTGATTCCTTCAGACTTATCATTTGTAGCCTATTAGTTGCCAGTTCATTGGCAATTTATTGACACTTAAAAATACAAAATATATATATTTTAACACGTACTATTTCCCTATGTTTATACTTATATTTCTCAACTATACTCTCTTCTGACAACTAAAATATAAATAAAGGTTAAATATACTTGCGGAGCTCCTACGATTTGGCGATCGTGAATTTTATAAGGATTGGTGGAATGCAAAAACAATCGAGGAAGTGAGTATATTATTATATACATTTAAGTATTTAACATATTAATTATTTTTGCGTTCTTTGTGTTTAACTGTTTGCCATTTGATGGATTTGCACCAGTATTGGAAAATGTGGAACATGGTATGTACTATTCTACTTATTTGACCTTTTAAGTTGAATAACCTTTTTCCTTTTGAAATTAAATATTTTTTGTTTTTTCAGTCCCTTGGTGATTTATATGTACTTTTAATATTAGTAGTTATGAAAAAATATGTGCTTAGATGGACATGAACCTACATTATAATATTATATGCTATACATTATAGTTTTACTCAGTAATATTCATTTTTATCGTTATAGTTGACACTCTGTAGTAATATAGTATATTTTATCATTTATACGATGATTGATGTCTTTGTATTACATTTGAAATTTTGATATATTTCTTTATTTTGTTCGATGATTGCTGATTTTAGTCTCACTTTTTGCAGCCTGTTCATAAATGGATGGTTCGTCACATTTATTTCCCTTGTTTGCGAAAAGGTGCATCAAAGGTATTTCCTCTTCTTATGTTAATTTTGATATTTTTTTCATGCAAACTTTTGAATATAGAAGTCTTTTCTCATTTTTAACGATTGATATGGAGTTTTTTATTGAGATCATTTTTCATTGAAATTGAGTGCGATGAGTGCCACTGTAGATGAGGAAGGAAAAAGGCTACCGAACAGTTGAGAGGAGGAAGAAAAATGTATATTCCTTCTGTAATTGCAAGTGAAGTAAAGAAAGGAGGTTATAAATCTCTGGTCAAGTTAACTGCTAACCCAAAATGTTTCAAACCTCCTTGTCCAACTCTTTATATCCAGGCTCAGCACACCCAAACTTACAGAATCTGAAGGGTTTTAACTTTTTAACACTATTTCTTCCTAGCTGTAAGCCTGTATAGTGTATATCGGTCGGATTCGGATCGGATATGCAGGTATCCGAATCCGAATAATTATCCGGATATCCGAATCCGACCGAATAAAATCCGGATTTGAAAATCCGAATCCGGATAAATTATCCGGATTTCCAGATAATCCGAATCCGGATAACTTTAGGGTTAGGGTTAGAGTTAGGGTTATGATTTAATAATTATAAGTTAATAAGTTCTAAAGATTTATAATTATAAAGGTAATTAGGTTTAAGACTTTAAATGTTTAATGATTTATAGTATAAATATATAATATATAAATATAATAATATTAATTTATTATATATTTATCCGGATATCCGAATCCGGAATTGTTAAACGAATTCGGATTTTAACGGCGGATTTTTTGGATATCCGAATCCGACCGAATAAAATCCGAATTTCAATTCAGGTATTCGAACCCGAATCCGAAAAATCCGAATCCGGATAGTCATATTCGAATTCGAATGCGGATTTGAATACGGATTCCGGTATACCATTTACAGGCTTACCTAGCTGGTTCTATCCTTGTATTATCTCTAGAAAAAACATACTTACTAAAGCTCTCTGCCTCCCCAACGTATTTTTTTGATAGAATTGCAATTTCATTGATGAAGAATGAAAGAAAATGGGCATTGCCCAATGTTACAACTTACAAATAAATGGGAATGGGTATGCCTCATGCCTTCATGTCACTAAATATATATAGCTATCCCTATATTTACTAGATGCCTAAAGGGTGTTGCCTTAGATAGTCAGATTAGTAAACTCCCAAGCTTTCTTTGCACTGACTTCAGCCAAGTTAATTCAACCAAGTATATTAGAAGTCTCCTCTTAGTCCCCTACTCAAAGTTTATCATGAAAGAAGACACTAAGGATACTAACATCTTCTGCAAATTTATTTAAAAAAATCCAATCATACTTTTTTTTGATGAAATTTTTTTTTCATTAACAACGAAGTGGGCCTTGCCCAGTTTTACAAAAAAAAGAAAAAAAAGAAACCCCTTAACAGACAAGAACCACCCAAGAGTCAAGAGTGGGCAGTGTCCTCTAGGGGAGTAACAACAAGACATAAAGCACAAAACATTAACTGATTAACTCAACCCAAGGTTTGAGTTAATCAACAATTAGCAATTAAGGAAAGCTATTTAAGCGAAGAAGCTACTAAGGATACTGTGGCAACCATACTTTGTCATGAAAGTAAAGATACTGGCAACCTTTTTTCTCTTACTGTTTTACAATCATCCTTGGCAACTAAGTTTGTTGTTGTTACTTGATGACTTCCAATGTAACAAAAATATTAATGAAAATATGAAATAATAATACCCACTCGCCTATTTTCAATAATGCTGAAAGATATAAATGAAAACCAGTGGTATTCGACTCTTAATCTCCCCGCGTATATCAGAAATCTCCCCTTAGTCCTCTATTCAATGTCTGTCATGGAAGAAGCCACTAAGTATATCAGAGTATCAACATCTTCCTTCGTGCATCATTCTTCAAGGAATCCAACCATACTTTGGTTGAGATAAATATGCAGAAAACTTGAGAGACAAACATTTCGAGACAACACCCTATAGGCAATTAGCAATTAGGGAAAGCTATATAGAATTAATGTCTACGAGTCTAAACTCATTCAGTCATTCATTCCCAAATCATTGGTAATTGGAAAATGCTTTTTTTCATTATTATTAATGGAAATTTAACTTTATAAAAAAACATCTATCTTGGGTCCTTGTAGTAACACTCAACCCTCTTGAGCACTGAGCTAGTCAGGTTGATCAAACCGGATATATTGACAGCTTACCCTACTAGACGTCTAACTCCGTTCTTTTCTGGTGGTCAGAGTTTTCTGGTGGTGATCCAATCTGATGATCTTATAGATCGGATTAAAAAAAAAGATCAAATCCAATGGAACAGTAAATGGAATGTCGGATTCCACCAACAATGATTTACCGATCTTGGATTTAACTTCAATCCACGAATTAATTCCAAGTGATTAATGTAGATCTAAAAATGTAGGAAGATGAAGATGGAATTATGAGCTAGACATCGAGATTACCTTGAAAAAGTAAATCTCAATCATAACTGCCATTCCAAATGTTGGTCAACCTAATTTATACTCTCATGGTGCGAGAGTGGAAATCAATCATGAGAGTCCAAGTCCATTTTAGTGGGCTTGGTCTATGGCTCGAATTAATTCGAGTCCATGTGGGATGAGAACACTTTGGTCTGCATCACTTACCCTAAGGAGTAGCTAACCTTCAGCAAAAGCTGGAGACTCACACTCTAACCACCCATTTTTGTCTTATTATCAGAGTAAAAGTAGACGTTGATAATGACTTACACGGTAGTAATTATACTTCTTTTTTAATTTTAATTCTTTCAGGGTTTTGCTGTCCTGATTGCGTTTCTTATGTCAGCTATTTTTCATGAGGTTGGTCTGATATATTATCTACAATTTTTACTTTACTATGCATTCATTACTCTTTACATATTTTTTGCTTTTAGAACTATTTTTACATTCATTCATGGACCAAGCTTACATTTACTGATTTAAATCTTATAATTAAAGTGAATATGAGGGGTGTAGAATTTGTTATGCATTTTACACTTAGAATGCTTTCAGTCTTTCATTGTATTCTTCATATGCTTGGTATGCATACATTTTGTTGAATACATGAATGTGATTTGTCTTCTTCATTGTGTTTGTGCTATTTATGGAATCATGTTTCCAAGAAGATGCTCTGGTTATCAGTTCTTTTTGTATTTGAAGATGGATTCATTTAGTATTAGATGACTTTCATTGTTTTCTTCCATTTCCATAACCAATGTGGGTGGGACTATGGTAATAACTAATAATAGTTACCCTATTAACCTTTTCTGGAGAAGTGGCAACTTCGTGAGTGTGGTTGGGTTCCTTGGCTTGGCTTAGGAACTGATGAGGTACTAATGGAATAATGGATGAAAGATGAATCTTTTTTTATTAAAGACTTGAATAGAGTCTTTTTGTTTCAAAAAAATGTTGTCTTAAAATACCTTTGCTTGAATATATATTCATGACATTTTAAAATGGATGCATTTTATATCACATTTAGTTTTCAGATACCTGGAAACTGAGCATTTATCTTTAATATGTGTCAATCATTTAATCTATATTTTACATTTGACTCATTTCTCATTGTTGAGCATTTTACAGCTCTGCGTTGCAGTTCCTTGCCACATATTCAAGTTTTGGGCTTTCATAGGAATTCTTTTCCAGG